AATAAAGTTAGAATGACAAAAGTAGAGGGATGGGGGTCTCAAATGTGATCTTGCACCTGAAGTCTGGTTTGCAATTTCTGAGCTTCCTAAATTTTAAGGCTTTTAGAGTATTTAGCAAGAAACAGAGGTTTTTGTAGACTCCTTTAGGTTTCTTAAATTTTAAGGCGAATATTCAGCAAGAAACATAGAGGTTTTTGTAGATACCTTTAGGTTTCTGAATTTAACACCTGACGTTACTTTACAAGGTTTAACTTCTGCACAGATACACTTGTTCATGTGAATCACTTTGATAAAAACTGACTGTACACTTGTTTGCTTTCCAGGCTTATCAGTGACTGAAAAAGTGTGCTTATTGCATAAATGTTGATAAGTAGTGACGCACCAGTGCTAGTAAACCTGACAGTGGGGGGAACTGAAGTGTGTGTGGGGCAATCTAAATGATAAAATAAAATATAAAATATCATAAAGAATATTAGTGCAAGAAAGAAAGATCACCATCATTATGGATTTTACAGAAGTATGCATTTTATGCATTGTGCACATTTCACGTGTATTTTGACACATGTGTAGCGTGTTATGGACATTTGACACCTTATACAATAGTAGACATTTTTTGTAACAGTAAAATGCATGTGGTAAATAAAAAAAAGGTTGCAAAAAACTCCAAAATGTGTGTTAAAGTATAGTGAACCCTCATCGTATAAAAAAAAAACCCATTCAATTTAAAATAGAAATGAAAGTCAAGACATTTATGTGTGTATATACACCGGCCACCTTATTAGGTACACCTTGCTAGTGTCAAGAAAATATCCCCCACACCATTACGCCACCACCAGCCTGAACCGTTGATACAAGGCAGGATGGATCCATGATGTCCACACAACTGCAGCTCACTGGATATTTTCCCTTTTTCGGAACATTCACTGTAATCCTAGAGATGGTTGTGCATGAAATTTCCAGTAGATCAGCAGTTTTTAAAATACTTAGACCAGCCTGTCTGGCACCGACAACCATACCACGCTAAAAGACACTTAAAGTGGTTCTAAACCTACAACAGTAAAATCAGTCTGCATATGCAGTAAAGCATGCTTGTTATACTCACTGTGGAACCTAAGGGATTAAACCTCTGCATTGTTTGATCCTGACTTCTCTGCTCCTCCCCTTGTTCAAATATCTATGTCTTATCTCCTGTTAAGACAGACTGAACCGTAGCCATTCTGCAGATGCTCAGTTTAGTGTGTATTGCTAGAAAGGTATTTTTTTCTTGGGCGAGTGCATGTGATCAGCACAGGGCCAATCAGCACTGTCCATACAGAGGTCAGGGGTTTTGCATCCTTCTAGAGCAGAAAGAAAACTCCTCCTAGAAGCTTTAACCATTGCTCTGCTGGATACTGATAGAAGCCACAAGACTGCTCTAACTGCTGATGAGAAAAGGTATTTAGCAGTTTATATTTACTAAAATACTGTGTACTGTGGGAGACCAGATATAGCGAATTCAGGCTCCTGGGCTAATATACACTTTAAATCCCCTTTCTTCCCCATTCTAATGCTCTGTTTGAACTTCAGCAAGTCATCTTCACCACATCTAGATATCTAAATGCATTGAGTTGCTGCCATGTGATTGGCTGATCAGCAATTTGTGCTACCAAGAAATTGAACAGGTTTACTTAATAAAGGGACAGATGTGTGTATGTATATATATATATATATATATATATATATATATATATAATAAAAAAATTTTTTTCTTTTTTTTAATTCATACAATTTTCGTCCTCAGCTGCGTAAGTGGCTCAAAGAGGTGGGGCTGCTGAAAGAGCAGTACACTGATCTTTCCAGTGAATGGCTGTGCAGGTGGGAGTTGGGGGCAGGGCATGTCAATAGATCAGTAGATCACTGGAGGACAGACAGACTGTGCGCCCAGCACAGCCAGAAAACTGACTACACTTGGAAGGATGTGCTCTCATGCCTAGGTTGGTCAGTTTGAAATAGCAAAAATGACAAGTTCACCAGGTATTCAAACAAAGGAAGCAATACAATGTGAACAGGATACTTTTTCATACAAGTACATGCATGCTACAAATAGAGCATGGTACAAATAGAGTCATACCTTCAAAATGTCACTACAGTCAGCATCATGGCAGGGGGCAGGAGACGAAGCAGATTTAGATGAAAGCAGGATTTCAGATTCTCTTCTGAATTCCAGCCCTGAATCAACATCATCTGTTTCCATGGTGCAGGCAGGCTGGCCACCAGCACCAAAGCAACAAAAGACATGGTGCATCCTGGTCCACCCCCCTGCACCATAGAAACAAATCATTCTGTTCTGCTGACAGGGGCAGGGCACTGTGCAACCATGCCAAGTCGGCTTCACCAACTCTGTGTACTGCCCCCTGGTCCTTCCACTTCCTCATACTGAAGTCATTGATCCTGGGAAAGCATGACTGAACCTGGCCCTGGAGTATGGTGAGTTTAAAGTCCAACCAGGCACCAAAAAAAGTGTGGTCCCCAGCACTGCAGGGATTAAATGCTTGGTAATTCTAGTGGGTAAAGGAAGAGGCTGCGCTACTTACCTTAATCCTTCCTGCGACGCTCTCTTCTCTCTTTTGCTCCAGGCTGTGGGCAGTCAATAGGCATCATCATGTACGATGCAGGGCTATTAGTCCTGCATTGTATGTGAAGGAGGTGACTGGGCGACTGAGACTGTGGGGGAATGTGAAAAGTAGACCTTATGGCGCTGCTCCAAGCAGAGGATAACCCCACCGGCAAGTGAGAAGAGGGGAGCATGAGTCCGATCGATTCCAGTGTCAGCCAATACAAGTGAAGGGATGGACACTGCTCAATGCTGCGGGGTGAAACGCGTCAGAGGGACGTGGCTAGTACTGCGGTTAAGGCCATTGGATTCATTGGATTCCTGGGGTCGGTTGAGCAGCATCCATCCCTTCACTTGTATTGGCTTACAATGTGGGGGAATGGTGGCACAGATGGAGGGAGCCTGAAGGGCTGCAGAATAATATATAAGTATTACAGTTTATTCCTCTAACCCCACTGCAAGAGTATTTTTTTTTCTTGTGCCTGGAGTTGAACTTTAAGACTGCTATTGGTGACAGCAAACATAATAAATGTCTCCACCCTATTTTGCTGAACACAGCCAAGAGTCCTGCCCTGAGACATTTAAGGTCACTTACCATACTAGCTGTGAATACCTGAGAGAATGGTGTACTTAATATGTCAATACACTCAAAATAACAGAAATTGGTTTTATTCTATAAAAGTATGACAACTGACATTTTTAAGTTCAATGAGTAAAAATTGATAACTAAACAATCCTGGCGTGTATTCTGATCTTCATCTTGGAGTTTGTCTAGAAAGGTATTTTAAATACTATACATTCAAAGAATATTCCACTTTAAATTTGGGCGTAACAGATTCATCCATCCAAACAACGTGGATGGAGGATTCCTCCTGGTGGGACATTGTATTCTGACAGCGGCTTCCACTGCTGTCAGAATAGACTGATCAGTGGCTGCAGCCAGTGGAATCCCTAGGGGGGTGCGGGCTGCACAGGGTGACACCATCACAGGGGGTACTGGAGCAGGACGCCAGCAGAGCTTCTGAGCTCTGTGAAGGTCCTGGATAGTTATTGGGGTGATCCCGGATTCCCGGCACAGTGACAGCTGCCCCCAGTGTAAAATGAGTATCCCGTGAAGATATGTATACCCTAAAACAACTGCGCATGTGCTGATTTCAGGCCAAAGAAGAAGATCGCCGATCTCCGACTTAATCTGATTGAAAATTTGTGGAGGGAGATGAAAGTTCGAGTTGCCAAACGTCAGCTACCAAACCTTAATGACTTGTGAGATGATCAGCCAAGAGGAGTGGGCCAAAATCCCTCCTGAGATGTGTGCAAACCTGGTGGCCAACTACAGGAGACGTCTGACCTCTGTGATTGCCAACAAGGGATTTGCCACCAAGTACTAAGTCATGTTTTGTGAAGGGGATCAAATACTTATTTCCCTCATGAACATGCAAATCAGTGCATCATTTGTTAGACATGCATTTCTTTTGAATTTTGTGTTGCTATTCTGTCTCTCAGTGTTACAATACACCCACCATTCAATTTTTAGACTGATCATTTCTTTGTGAGTGGGCAAACATTCAAAATCAGCAGGGGATCAAATACTTACTTACTTCACTCTATGTGATTTCTCTCAATTTGTACAAATACTATTGTCTCATTATAGAGAGCGAGACTGTTGTTATGTTAGCCAACAAATTATTTGCCCATATTTAAAGATCACTTGCTGTCATTATTCACCAACACAATTGCCACTTTAAAATGAGTTTTGCCTGCATCTTAGATTGTAAGCTCCAAGAAGCAGGGCCCTCCTGTCCCTCTTGTATTAAACTATATTGTTGCTGTATTGTCTCCCTTATATTGTAAAGCGCTGAGCAAACTGTTGGCTCTATATAAATCCTGTACAATAATAATGTAATAATTTGGGTTTTGTTTTAGGAATAAATGAGGTTGTTTTAAACATTAACCACTTGCTTTCCAGACGATTTACCCCCCTTCCTGACCGGGCCATTTTTTTGTGATACGGCGCTGTGTTACTTTAACTGACAATTGCACAGTCATGCAACACTGCACCCAAATGAAATGTATGTCCTTTTTGTCCCACAAATAGAGATTTCTTTTGGTTGTATTTGATTGATTGTGCGGGTTTTATTTTTTTGCTATAAAAAAAAAAAGGTCGACAATCTTGAGAAAAAAAATTATATTTTTGATTTCTTGCTATTAAACATGTCCACTAAAAAAATTAAAAAAAATCAAATTTCATCATACTTTTAGGCCAAAATGTATTCTGCTACATGTCTTTGCTAAAAAAAATCCCAATACGTGTAAATTAATTGGCTTACGTGAAAGTTATAGCGTCTTCAAATAGTGGTATATATACTGGAAGTTTTTACTAGTACTAGTAATGGCGGCGATCAACGACTTATAGCTGGACTGCAGCGGGCATTCTGACACTGGGGGGGAACTGACTAACTGTCACTGACACCCCCAGTGACACTAATACAGTGATCAGTGCTAATAAAAAGCACTGACACTGTACTAATGATACTGGGCAGGAAGGGGTTAACATCTGGGGTGATCAAAGGGTTAACTGTGTGCTGTTTTACGATGCGCTGTGTGTGTGCTTCACTGTCTAAGCATATTGCTCTGTATTGCTCTGCTATGCAGAGCAGTACAAAGCAATGCGCAGGAGCTGATGGGAGAGATCTGTATTGTTTACATATAGACCTCTCCTCCGTCAGTGATACTTGGCAATAGCCGGGTGCTGCCGGGGAATCACTGTCCGGGACCCGGTGATCGACAGCTGAGTCTGCCAATGGCGGCACAAGTAGGAAATACCCAGAAATGCAAAATCACACATATATATGTGATTTTGTGCAGCCCTGCCGCCCTATAGCAGTGTTTCTGCTATAGGGCAGCAGGCAAGAGGTTAATTACATTTATAAAATGGAAAATGTTACATTTGCCTATTGAGATTTGTCACTGAATTCATTCCCATCCACTGAATTTCTAATGATTTCCCATGGTGTTTCACATTGATGGATCAGTGCCCAGCAGTGCCTCCCAGAAGTGCCACCCACCAGTGCTGCCCAGCAGTGCCACCCAGCAGTTGTGCCAATCAGTGCCCAGCAGTGCCACCCAGAGGTGTCCAGCAGTCCCAACAGTCAGTGCCGTCAGTCAGTGCCATCAGTCAGTGCTGTCTGTCAGTGCCACCAGTCAGTGCTGCCCATCAGTGTCACTCATCAGTGCCCATCAGTGCTGCCTATCAGTGCCCATCAGTGCTGCATATCAGTTCAGCATCAGTGCCTTCTCATCAATGCCCACCAGTGCCACCTCATCAGTGCCACCTCATCAGTGCTGCCTATCAGTGCCCATCAGTGCTGCATATCAGTGCAGCCTTATCAACACACATCTGAAGGAGAAGAATTACCTGTTTGCAAAATGTTATAATGGAAAACAAAGAAAAACTTTTTTTTTTTTTCAATTTTTTGCTTTTTTTGTTCATAGTGCAAAAAATAAAGCATCCAGTGGTGATTAAATACCACCAAAAGAAAGCTCTATTTGTGTGAAACATATGATAAAAATGTCATATGGGTACAATGTTGCATAACCGTGCAAGTGTCATTCAAAGCGTGAGAGAGCTGAAAGCTGAAAATTGGCCTGGGCAGGAAGGGGGTAAAAGTGTGCGGTAGGCAAGTGGTTGAGGATTGGCATCTTTTGGCAGCAGGGGGGGTAGCGGGTACCCAAATTTGGTAGGTATCTGCTCCCACTTCCGCTGCAATCGCTTAGCAATCAAAAACGGATGTTGTCCTCCCCCATCCCTCCCTGTAGTCTTCGGGAACATGTGACAGGTCCCAGAAGACTACGAGACCATTCACAAAGTGCAGCGCTACTCACGCATGTGCAGTGGGCACCGGGCTGTGTAGCCACAGCTGTCACAGCTGGGTGCCCACACTGAAGATGCCAGTGCCAGGAACACAGGGAGTTTGGTGAAATGGGTTGTAGGAAGGACACCACAGGTTCGAGGGATAGATGAGTGGCTGTTTTTTAAAAGTCAACAGCTACAGTTTTTTGTAGCTGCTGACTTTTATTTTTTTTTTTTATTTCCACTGTAACGTCGCTTTAATGTTCATCCTTTGTTACTTTTTATAAAAAAAAACCAGTAGAACCAGAAACTGCTTTCTACTGGTCTGAAATAGCTGCACGATACAAGCAGAAGTAAATATGACCTTGTAACTGTGACTAGGAAATAATAGAGAGATAACGTCTATTGCTCAACATCAAAGGCATGTAAAGGATATAGTTTACATTATAGAACATTACAGTGGTTAACTTTTTAGAAAAGTTTAAAGTAACTTAGAGGGGGAGATTTACTAAAACTTGAGAGTGCAAAATCTGGTGCAACATCGAAACCAATCAGCTTCCAAGTTTTATTGTCAAAGCTTAACTGAAGAAGTTGAAGTTAGAAGCTGATTGGCTACCATGCTCAGCTGCACCAGATTCTCCCCCACAGTGTATAGCAAGCCATACATGGGTCGAATTCCAAATGATTTTTTGATTAAAAATCGAAAACATCGTTCGTTCTGTAATCCGATGGTGCCACCAATGATTTTGAAAATCGGTCGTTTTTCAAGAATTTTCCAGCATGCCCGATAAATGAAATGGGGAGGAACCACGAAAATTGGCTGGTTCCATTGCCCCACTAACAGCAATAGTGGCTGATTTCTCTTAGGTCCGATTTTCGAGCGAAAAATCGTTCGAAAATCGACCCATATATAGCTGACTTATTTCTTGTTCAAGCTTTTTTTTTTTCTGCTCATGGAATGGTCACTGCTCGGATATTTAGGTAGACAACAGTGGAGATTTCTAGATTTCTTTAGCCATGCTTTTTAGTGCAGATGGGGGAGTCAATTGATTCCCACTGGCTGAATGAGAGAAAATGAAATGTGTGTGGCTAGGTTTACAATGTTCAGCGTCACAAAAAAAGAAGGTGAACCTCACAAGTGGCACAGACAGCAATTAAAAACTGACAAGAGTTCAAGCTTTCCTACACTAGCTACAAAAAAATCACAATGCAAAAGATAGGTATATAGGAATAATAACTAATATTTACCTGTTTCCTAGATTATTTTAGAATACCGATATGGGTACATGCATCTTGTTCTGAATTTTGTTTTGTATGTTTTATAGGGTGTATAAACTTCAGATTTTAATGTTATTTTGTTAAGTTGATATACAGTGTGAAGAAGAAGGCTAATCCCAGGCTTTCATATAGACTAACTTTGCAATCATCAAAATCTTCTACAATGTTAGGCTGCTCAAGTCAGCATTGGCATTAGGGTGGTCAGCTGTTCTAGGCCCTTTTCCTCTACATTGTTTGAAAATTGCTTTTAAAGATAGGTAAATGTCTGCTATATATTTTGTGGAACCATTGAAACTATAAGATTCTACCATGTTTCATATGAATGCAAACAGCATAGAAAAGCGCCCAAATCTGAGTGATCAGTCTTTAACTGATACTCAGTGCATATATGATTCTTATCCCTGCTCAGCTGCTTACAGCAAGAGTCCCAGCCCTACTCAACTTCTGACAACACGTATTTGTCTCAATCTGTTCTTTTGTGTGATACAGAGACTGTTCATCTCACTTTCATTGCTGGAGGATTATGCCATCATGCATGAATGCAGCATAAAGCAACATGCAGCACATCCCAGATCTGAGAGTTTTGTACAGGTAAGTAGCACAATACAGGCAAGTCCCTAGTCCACAGTTTGCTCACTCAGCACTCATACCCTGGTAGAGGCCAGGGGTGGACTGACAACTCATTAGGGCCCCCGGGCAATAGGGGATCATGGGGCCCCTGTGTCCTTGCCCAAACTCAAAAAAGCCTATGAAAAAGGTACCAGGGGCATCTCATGGGGCCCCCCCTACTTACCCCAGGCCCCCTGGCAGTGCCCGAGTTTCCAAATGGTCAGGCCGCCCCTGGTAGAGGCATTCTTTTATCTCCAGTGTCAGAGTCTTCACTACATATTATTCTGCATGTTGACATAGCACATTGGATTAAATTATTATTATTATTGTTATACAGGATTTATATAGCGCCAACAGTTTGCTCAGCGCTTTACAAAATAAAGAGAGACAGTACAGCAACATTACAGTTCAATACAAGAGGGTTAGGAGGGCCCTGCTCCTTGGAGCTTACAATCTAAGAATTATACATGTCTAGGTAAAAATAGGATTTTTCATTTACTTTAAAATCCTTTTTTGAAGTACATTATAGGACACAGGATGAGCAGTCTGGCACATTGGGTTATGCAGCTGCCGTTCAGAAGACTAGATACTGGCAAACAAAGCTGTGAGGACAGCTCCGTATAACCCATCCCACTTCCAGCATGCCCCAAATTTGTTAGCAAGCAATATTAGAAGTGGTTCGTAAAAACAAAGAGGGGAGACCTGTGTCACACATTGCACTCATAGAAAAGGGCTTTACATAAAAATTGTCACAAAGTGGACCATGATAAGTAGTCAGATACATTGAGATGACCAAACCAACTGAGGGTTGGGCAATAGAACAAGCGATTGCTAACAGGCCCACAAAAGCAACAGGTTAAGTGAAAGAACTCAACTGAAATCACGGAGTCATCTGTGAAGAACCTTATGAACAAAGTTGGCATTGGATGAGGTCTCAATATCCACCTGACTAAAGTTAAATGTGTGAACAGAAGACCAGGAGGCAGTTTTGCAAATATGAGAAATGAATGCCTGATGCTAAAAGCCCAAGAAGCATTAACTACTCTAGTAGGGTGGGCTTTGACCAGAAGAGTGGAACCTTCTTAGTCTGTAGGCTCAAATGATGAACTGATGAATTCAGCTGGAGCTAGTGAAACAACAAACAGCTTGTCCTGTACAGGGATCCTCAGGAATGGAGAAAGAAGTTATAACTGGGAGATAGACTCAAACCAAGCATACCAAATCCAAACAGTGGAGGGAAATTTCCTTGGCATGTCAGGGAGTCAGATACAGAGATGAGAGAACAATATCCTAATTAAGGTGGAAGGAAGCAAATAACCTGAGTCTTAAGATGGAACAATTTTTTTCCTGCAACCATGGGTTGCAGAAAAGAAAATCGATCAATTCCCCAATTATCAAAGTCCCGTCCTCTGTAGCCATTGTGTTCTCCAGGCGGGTGGAGCCATCCCACTTGGAGAACACAGTGAATACTGTTATTGGCTATAATAGCCGCTAGCAATATTTGCATGTAAAATCTGACAAGCAGGTTGTACCCAAGTTGACCGATCGATCAGCTTGGGTACATTCAGCCTGCTCATACATGGTTTGAATCTCAGCTTAACTGGCCAAAATTCAAACTGTCTATGGCTGGCTTTAGGCTCCACAACAACCTTATATTTGTGTAGCACAGAAAACTCAGTTAAGATTGGCAACTCAGAAACTTGCCTCACAGAGAAGATGGCAATGGGGAAGAAAACTATGTGAATTAGAGTTGACAAGGAAATAGCCCTGATAGGTGGTTTCTGGAGAACCAACAGAACCATACTGAGATCTCATGGAGTCACTGGGGAATGCACAGGGGAGCAATGAGCGCAACACTCAGCACAAAGGCTTTCTCTAAGGAGTGCGAGGCCAGTGGTCTTGCTAGGAACAAGACATGACTGGATAAAAGACAGAAATTGTCCCATGAAACACTTCCTGGGATGGAAATTCCTTGCCTTGCACAAGGTATGCTAGACTTTGAGAAAAATCAACTCCCTAGTTTTCAAAGATGAAAGGATAACTGAAAAAGGTAGGCACCTATCCTTCAGGGCAACGGATTCAACAGCCAGACCATTAAAAT